ACCAGAGTAAACAGGGCCGGAAAACGGGTTGTTTTATAAAACTTACAGATTCTAAGGCATCGAAGTGAATAATCTTGGAGAGTTTTGAGTATGTGACCCAAAGAGCCTCAGTTGCTATTGAAATTTGGGGAGTGTCTTGATCGAATTAATCAAGAAGCATCTAATTTGTTAGCCGGAGGAGGGTGAAGCATGATTTACTTGAATGTGATTAGATGGAGGGAATGTTCCGATATGAAATGAAATGCCAGAGGCCTTTTTGAAAAACTTATAATCCTTTCATGATTTGGCAGGTAATTATGATAATTCCCAGTATTTTCACAGACTTAAAAGTTTTCTCACAGCAACATTGTTACTGGAGATCATGTTTCCTGATACTCCAGCTGGAAGGAATTGCTCCATCTCCTAAAGCCCCGAAGGCATCATTTTCCAAAGCCCAACTCAAATGTCACTTTCTTGGTGATGCTTTCCCCCATCGTTTAGACCAGGGTTACCAAATAGGCATCATCTTGCTGGTCAACACACTGATTGATCAGTTATGACTGCCTAGGTATCTTCTTGAGGAACGGGCGCAGTGATTGATTAGTGCTGTCTGCCAAGGGAACAGCGGGCAGGGGAGTAGTGGAATCCTGAGATACTTAACCAGTCCCCTTTGATGGGCATTTAGGTGGATCCTAGCCATTTGGAGCTAAGCTTGTATTTTGAGCTCACTTGCAAGTAGAGAGGCAAGATTTCTGCCCAGCCATGATTTGTCAAATCAAAGGTGAGTGATTTAAAAAATTTGATATACATTGCCAAATAGGCAAGTTACCTAAACTTCTTGAATCTTCTACCTTCTCTCCAGCCCAAAAGATGAAACCCAGATGGTGACGCAAAGTCTTTGCATCTCATTAACTGATAAGTTGTGCACCTTCCAAGCACAAGTTCAGAACCACAACTTCTACTGGCCAGATGGTGTCCTTGGGCCTCTTGGAGAATGAAGGCTTCATTCCTGGTCCTCTGTCCCGTGCTGGGCTGGGTTTGGGGCTGTGTCAGCCCTGGTCAGTGTATCTCCACCTGGCATTTGCTTTTGATTTGTCACTGTGATAGTGTTGTCAAATGGCATCTCCTCCTTAGCTACCTGCAGATTGATTAATTTTCATGAAATACAACTAAGGGTAGAAGGAAGCACATCAGACTCTCAAACTGGTGATGTCAGGACACAAGTGCCTGGTGGGGATACAGGCATTGGATATGGCTTGGGAGGCTGCCTGGCATGTGCCAAGGCTCATTAGAAAAGTGATTCCTGAATGTTAACTCTTGGAGGGGTGGGCCTTCCCTGATACACTGCCTTCTTTCCGAGTCACTCTTTCATAATTTACCAAATGTCAAAGGATGTAAACTGTGTGGCTCTCCTTCCTCCTCCCTAAGATCCCAGCACCGTGCCTGGAAGATGGTTAGCAGCTCTGTGGTGCTCTTGCTTCAGGGCACACTGAGTGCTCCCCACAGCATTTCTAGCTCCTCGGTGTGGCACGTCATGGTCTTTCTCCACCTGGCCCCTGGAGAACTGCTTGTCTGCCACTTCCTGCATGTCTCCTGTCATGATCACCCATGACATAAAACCAGCTCTCATCTACTGGGAACTTATCCTGCCCCAGATGTGCTGCCAAGCCTGCTAAGTGCGGCATCTCCTGCCATCCTTACAGTGGCCTGGTAAAATGGGTGTGGATTTTAATGCCCATTTCACAGACGCACAGCCACAGGCTCGCACCAGAACACACACACAGTCAGTAACTGATCTAGCCCGGGCCCATCTTGCACCAAGGCCTGACGCCTGCACCACCTCTCTCCGCCTCCTCCCTGCCAGCCTCTGGTGCCAGCATTTGCACCTGTAGTTTCCTCCACTGGTCATACCTTTCTCTTCCTTGTCTGCAGGGTGACCTCCTAGAACTCAGCAGGTTTATGGAGCAGAGAAGGCCTGTGAGGGCTGAGTGAGTTAGTGAGACCCACAGACGGAGAAAGGGGATTGGAGAGAAAGGCTGGGGCTGCATCTTGAAGGAGTTTGGATTTTACTCTTAGAGCTGTAGAAGCAATGAAAGTATTAAACAGCAGATGACAATATTAGATGTTACTTTGGGGAGATCATTGTGCCTGCTTGGAGGAGAATGGATTGGAGGGCACCTGTTCTCTCTCTGTCCTATTTTCTGTGGCTGTTGAAAAATAAGAAGGTCAGATGAGAACCCATAAGTGCCCTCAGAGCCTAATAAAAATTTCAAGAGGCAGTGGTTGTGCAACCTACTTTTATTTTTGTGATAACAGGAACTATTTGTGATTTCACATTCTCTCTTCTGAGGCTCTTTCTGAGTCCTGAATTTATTTCTAGTTATACTGGAGTTTGGAAATAGTTATTTGAGGAACAGTAAGCTCAGTATGGTTTACGTAAGATGAAAGCTGTTTATACCAATGGCTGCAGGTAGGGATATGTAATATAAAAACTCAGAGTTTCAGAGCTTAGCTTAGTAACAATGAACATTGTAGTTTTAATGGTTTCTGGAAATTATTTTTATCAACTTTTGTCTCTTAAATTGCATCGGATTTTTCCTTTTCATTCCCCAGTGAAATGAAAGATTTGCCTGATGTGGTCAAGTTCTGCTCTTCTGGCTGCAAAAGAGAACCAGGGTTTTGACAGCTTATGGTAAACACCACTTGGAGCTGGGACGTTTCGATGTTTTCTGCATTTATGGAAAATTGCAGTAACACTCTGGCTCCCACTGCAAAACAAAACAGAAACAAAACATAAAACCCTGCTTTGCTTTGAAAATGGCAGTGGCATTTATTTAAGGCTCACATTTTGTGGGGGCACATTGGCAGGTATTTAGCAGTAATATCAGCAGCTGTGGATTTCCAGCTTGCTGCGTGGTGAATGGATGCACAGCCCGGAGGAAGCTCATGGAGGGTTTATATGATTTCTGTGTGTGTGGGGCACACAGGTATTATCAGCAATACTGTATTTGTTTGTTAAAGGCCAAAAGACGATCGACTCAAGCTTTTCTTATCCAAAAGGAATAAGGCAACAAAGGAATATTAATTTTACATCTGTACAAAGAAAAAATCTGTCAGAAAGGTTCAGTGACTTATTCTGCCTTTGTTAATTGCATGGTTCTTGCAGTATCTTTTGTGTTATTTTCACTTACTATTTCACACTGGTTTGAAAGCCTCTGTACCTCAGGGACAGAAGGGGGTACCTTTGGTGGGGAACTCACAGAGCAAGTTAATGGAAGCCTGATATATTTCATGTTGATTGCACAGTGGCTCCCTTGTATTTCAGATGAAGAATTTTAATTCTTTATAAAGGGTCTACGTGGCTTCTCTCACTGATGAATGGGAGCTCAAATAAGGAAAAGTAGAAAGAATGAGAAGGAAACATACCCCACATACCCCTTTGGCTATCATTCATATCTTGGTGGATTTTCTTCTCTGACTTACCCTTCATACAACAACAACAACAAAAAAGGAGGGCTCCCTTTTATTCCTCCTGAGATAAGACACACATTAGTGACCCCTGTTTTTTCACAAAGCTTTTCCCTGTGTCCCTCCTTTATTCTGACAGTGTCTTGTATAGCTCATGTAAAGTACTTATTGCAAATGGCCTGGTATTGTTTTTATACTGCATACAGTGTAGTTAGTGCATAGGTGAGGCCTGGGGCATTGGAGGGGTGATCTCCTGGGAAGGGCAGGGAGCTAAGGGCCTAGGTAAGGATCTGCCTGACCTGGCATTCTGGGGATTTCTCTTAAAACATGCTTGCAAGATTCTTCCTTCAGGGTTCTTGGAGAGTATAGCAGGATTACGTCTCACATTTCTCTAAAATGCTTAAGTAAATTATAGTTGAATAGTCTGTACCTTAACTATAGACTGTCTATAGCCACCTCCAGTTTTATTTATTGGGGATCAGCTGAGAATATCGAATAACTCAATTTGGAAAAATTTAGCAGCTCACAGCAGGCCCAGATGGGTTGCTTGTGGGCAGAGTGGATTGGTAGGACCGCAGTGTATAGCCAGGGCTCCGGCGTCAGTTTCTTGTTAGATGTTTGGCCTTGGGCGAGCTCACTATATTCCTGAGACACCGTTTCTTTTTTTGTAAGGTGGGAATAATAACATCCACCTCAGAGAGACAGTGTGATGAAGCTGCAAAGAGCGCTCTGGGAGGATTTAGCCTGACAGGGAACAAACAGTGACTTCAGGGTAGCTGCACTGCTGTGATTTCATCTGTCACCATTGTTGTCACTATCCTTGATAAAGCTCTGGTTCTGTTTTCTTGATTTTCTGAGCCAAGGACCTGATAAACCAAATGGTCAGTTATTCTCGTGCCGTTAGCAAAATTCTTGACAAGTATAAGTCAGCTGCGGAAGAAAGCCTTTGCTAGATAGAACAGCATTCATTTATTAAGAATCAGGCTGGGTGTGGTGGCTCACGCCTGTAATCCCAGCACTTTGGGAGACCGAGGCAGGTGGATCACTTGAGGTCAGGAGTTCAAGACCAGCCTGGCCAACATGGTGAAACCCCGTCTCTACTAAAAATACAGGGCGTGGTGGTACATGCCTGTAATCCCAGCTCTTGGGATGCTGAGGCAGGAGAACAGCATGAACCTGGGAGGCAGAGGTTGCAGTGAGCTGAGATCGTGTCACTGTACTCCAGCCTGGGTGACAGAGCAAGACCTTACTTAAAAGAAAAAGAAAAAAAAAAGAGAAAAAAAAGCCCAAGGTCCAAACATGATCTGATACTATCTTATTTGGACCATAACTTCACACTGTTGACTCTGAAGCGTCAGTGTGAAGCAGGTCAAAACACATTGAGCTTACAGGTGGATTGCATGGTTCACAGGTAAGCGGTGTCATTGACTCCAGCCCCAGCAGCCTACGGATGTTTCGCTGACAGGTGTCAGGAAGGAGAGTCCAGAGAAGGCGGGATCGGTCCCTGGGGAATGTCCGCCTCTAAGTCCCACCTTTCGGTGCTTGTGTTCCAGGTGGCAGAGATGCATGGTGAGCTGATTGAGTTCAACGAGCGCCTGCACAGGGCCCTGGTGGCCAAGGAAGCCCTCGTGTCCCAGATGAGGCAGGAGCTCATCGATCTCCGGGGACCGGTGAGTGTTCCCCCAACCCTTTGTGTCCGTCCAGCTTCTGCTGCCCACAGCCCGGGAGAAAAGCATAGAGACTAACAGAGCAAGCAACCATGTATCCACCGGCCAGATTTGCCCACATTCACCTCTGCCACATTTGCTATTTATTTTTTATGGGGATGGGGTAGAATAAGTAAAATGTTACAAGTTCTGTTGAAGCAACATTTCATGCTTCTCTTTCTAGTCATCTATAGTTAAAATTGGCATATAGTTCCCCCACCCATGTTTCCATACTTTCCTGCATGGATAAATTTCCATGAGCAGTAAACACTCTTGGTTTTGTGTTCTTAACTTTTACCTCCATGACATTACTTTTGTATGTATCTGTTTGCCACTTGTCTTTGCTTATTTGTTTTTAATTCAATATTGTGGTTTGAGGAGTAATCCACATACATCAGGTACAAGGCTTTTCAACCACAGCACTGCTGATATTTTGGATCATGTAATTCTTTATTGTGGGGGTTGTTCTAAGCATTATGGGATGTTTAGCAGCATCCCTGGGTTCCACCTATTAGAGGCCAGTGGCTTCACCTCGCCAGGTTTTGACAACCACTGATGTCTCCAGATATCGTCAAATGTCCTCCGGATTTCAGAACCTGGTAGAATCACCCCTGGTTGAGATCCGCTGATCTAGATCACTTGCTTGCTTGGCTCTGTAGTTCTCTGTTGAATGAAATACCACAATAAGTGGTTCAGTTGTGTCTTTGTAAACATTTAGGATGTCTCCACTATTTTGCTATTACGAACCACAACGCTGTGAGCATCTAACACTTGTCCTTTTGTGCAGACATATAATAGCTTCCTCATTTTACAACTTCTTTATTATGTAAAATGCCCACATTTAGGCAGGCTGTGTCATGCACACTTGTATCTCCTTTGTCAGGGTGGACAGTTATCTGTCATGGCCAATTGTGTTTCAGGTTATCTATGTCCGTTTCCTCCTTCTATATCATTTCAATCAAATTCTGGGTATTATTTCATGTACAGACATCTTTGTGTTTATCTCTAAAAATACGAAAAAAATAAATACAATATCCTTATCACCCCCATTACCAGTAATCCCTTTATGTCATCACAGTCAGTGTTCAAATTTCCAATTGCCTCATACCTTTGAATAGCTTTTTTGATTCAGGATCCACGTGAGATCCATGCATTGTGATTGGTTAATATGTGTCTATGTTGCTTTTCCTTTAAATTTTAAGAATTAGGGTAAAATATACCTAACATAACTTTTACCGTTTTCACCATCATTAAGTGTACAGTTGAGTGGCATTAAGTATGTTCACACAGTGTGAGGCCATCGCTACCACCCCTCTCCAGAACTGTTCCATCTTCCCCGACTGAAACTGTCCCCGTTAAACACTCAGTCCCTGCTCCCGACTCCCCCAGCCCTTGGCGACCATTCTACTTTGTTTGCCTATGAATCCACTACTGTCTTAGGTTTCTTTTCTTCAGCAGAGTCTTCTCTCATCTCTGTCTCTCCCCTTCTCTCTCGTAATTTGTTTACTGAAGACACTGGATTTGCCTTACAGAGGTTTACACCACCTCAGTTTTGCTGCTGGTATCTCTGTCGTGCGATTCGATATGCTGCTTCATTTCCTGTATTTCCTTCCATTACAGGCTTGGATTCAGGTTTAATTTTGCTGATGATATGACTCTGTTGTTGGGCGGTGCTTTCTGTCGGGAGATGCATATGTTTGCTACCTTTTTGTGATATTAGCAGCCATCTGTTATCACTTCCTGGGTCCATTACACAAACCTTTCTTTAAGGTCAGTACCTAAGTATGAAATTGCAGAGTTTTAGTGTATGGCATCTTAACCTTTACTGAGATTCACCATTTTATAAAGTAAAAGAACCTATTTATTATCCCTCTGTTTGTGTGCAAAAGTTCCTGCTGACACTGTTACATCCCTGCTGTGATATTTTATATATTTGTGTTTTCATCTGCTGTTCTGGCCCATAACTCCCACCGCCCTTGTTGTAAGGTTGGAGGCACTTTAGGCCTCAGAAGACAGAATCTCTCTGACCTTCTCCTGCCCTCTTTTCACCTCTTCCTTTTCCTACCCAAGGCAGGACTCTACTCTTCCCCTGCTTTCCGTAAAGAAATTGACCCACATTGTCTGTTTGTAGGTCGCAAGACCCCCATTTCAGAAGGGGTCCAGCGCCACCCCCGGGAGGAAAGAGTACTGCACAGAGAAGCCAGGAAGGATCTGGACAGACAGGCGCTGCAGGGTCTCCCCACTCAGTCTGTTAGTCTTAGACCCTACCCTTTTTATCCAATCACATCGCTAATCTTGATTATCCAGTGATGTCTCCATAAAAGGCCCAGGAAGACGAGATTCAGGGAGCTTCCAGGTAGCTAAACAGGTGGAGGTTCCTGGAGGTTGATACACGGGGAGAGCATGGAAGCTCCACACCGCTTCCCATACCTTGGCCTATGCATGTCTTCACTGTATGCTTCGTAAAATCCTTTATAATAAACCAGAAACTGTGTTTCTCTGAGTTCTGTGAGCTGCTCTAGCAAATTAATGGAACCCAAGAAGGGGATGGTGAGATCCGCATTTTATCGCTAGTGAGTCAGAAGCACAAGTCAAACAACCTGGGGCTTGTGGTTGACATCAGAAGTGAGGAGCGGTCTTGTGGGACTGAGCCTCACCCTGTGGGATCCGATGCTACCTCTGGGTAGATGTGTCAGAATTGAATCAGAGGACGCCCAGCTGGTATCCGCTGCAGAACTGATTGTTTGGTGGTAGGGAGAAACCCCCACACATTTCGTCCCAAGAAGTCGTCTTTGTTGATGGTTGCGGAGTGACAGCAGAAGGAAGACGGTTTGTGTTTTCCCACTCGTACCTACCAATGCCTTTTTGCATGAGATGGCTTTAACTTGTGTTTCCCTGACCACAGATGAGGTTGCCCATCTTTTCATTTGCCTGTTCCCCGTTCTGGGTTGCACATCTGACTTCTCACAGCCTTTGTCCATTTTTCTACTGCACAGTATTTGACTTGCTTGCTTTCTCACTGTTTTTGTATCTCCTTTGCAGTTACATGTATTTTACATATCCCCTTCTAGCCTATGACTTAATCTTTCACTTTAAATAAAAGTAGAAAATTTAAAACATATGTAAAAGCACAGGGAATTATGTAACAAAAACCCATGTCCCTGTCACTCAGCCTCAGTAATAATCAACTCAAGGTCATTCTCGCTTTGCTCATACTCTGCTCATTACTTCTCAACTCAGATTATTTGGATGTATATCCAAGCCATCTTACACTTTCATTCATAAATACCCAATATTTACTGCTAAAATATATTCACAATACCATCATCACACCTTTTTTTATTTTATTTATTTTTTTGAGACTGAATCGTGCTCTATTGCCCAGGCTGGAGTGCAGTGGCGTGACCTCAGCTCAATGCAACCTCTGCCTCCCAGGTTCAAGCAATTCTCATGCCTTAGCCTCCCGAGTAGCTGGGATTACAGGTGCCCGCCATCACGCCTGGCTAATTTTTGTATTTTTATTAGAGACAGGGTTTCACCATTTTGGTCAGGCTGGTCTCGAACTCCTGACCTCAAGTGATCTGCACACCTTGGCCTCCCAAAGTGCTGGGATCACAGGTGTGAGCCACTGCACCTGGCCTCACGCCTATTTTTAACAGTAATTTCATGATATTATGAAATACCCAGTCAGTGTTCAATATTCTCCAGTTAGCTCAAAAGAGTTTTCCATGTCTTTGTGTTGATCAGGATCCTGATAAAGTTCATATAGTGCAGTTGGTTGGTGCCCCTCTTCAGGCTCTTTTAATTTGTAGATTCCATTGCTATGTCTCTTTTTTTCCCCTTGTCTTTTTTGTCATTATTGTGGAAGATACTTGCATCCTTGAACTGTAGGTTTTCCCAGGTAGGATTTTGCTAATTGTAATCCTATGGTGATGTTTGTCATATTCCTCTGTCCCTTACCTTTCCTTTAAATTGGTCATTCACTCTGGAGGCTTGACGAGCTTCAGGTTTGGTTTTTTTGCCACAGTGGTGTCACAGGTGGTGGTGTGTGTTTCCATCAGGAGGCTCATAAATGTTGGTGTAGGAAAGCACTATTTGAGGAGCCAGTTCACACTGGACCCCATCTGTTTCAGTGGGGCCAGTGTGCAAATGTAATCCCCATCCCCCACCCCCCACCATATTGAAAGCCTAATAGTGCAGTCCCTGACTGAGTTTGCTTCCCTAATTTCTGACACTCCAAGACTTTGTACATGTTTTTGTGGATTTCTTTAATTAGATAGTTAGGAGTTTCCTTAAGGGGAAACATACTTAGGAAGGACCTGTTGTATACTAAGAACCCTTTCAGGGAGGTAATATCATCTCCATTTTGCAGGTTTACTGAGGTTCAGAGAAGGCTCCAGTAATTCTGTGAGTGTGTATGTAATAGAGCCTGGATTCAGACTCAGGTTTAATTTCAAAGCCCATTTTCTTCAAGCTATACCAGCTCTAGAGAATTGCAGGAACAGGTATGGGAGAGGGAGCCCCTTGTGTTACCCATTTCCCCCAGCCAAGGTTCCAGCATCCCTGCAGTGGCCCTGCCACCTGTGTTGCACATTAGAGACTTGGCAACATCTAATCTGCCTCCTCTGAGAAAGGACAATGGGGTGTGGGGATGGAGGCCTGGCCCTGACCTGTCTCCCCGTGTGAGTGGGGTAGGTCTTGAAGGTGGGCCAGCCTCTCCCTTGTCCCTGCCCAACACCAAGGGTCCCAGCCTACTCCAAGGCTAGCCTTGCAAGAGGGGCTCAGTGGGCAACCAGGAACCAGACAGTGGTCCCGTTTCTTAGAACAGGTTCAGTTTGACCCTGTGAGTGTCAGGTAGTAAATGGTAGGTGACTGTTGTCACTGCAGATAAATTTTTGGAGAGCAACATCAGTGTATCATTCTCATTGTGAATAATAAAGATGCCCAATTAACCAGTACAAATG